TTGTTAGCTATGTAATGCTCTGCAGTATGGGCATTCACTGGATGTAAAACACAAAAATTGTGATGAAACAACGGAACTCGACGTTAATGACAATGCCGTACAACAAATCTCGTGGTTGGAGTCTTATCTTGCAAGCCATTATGGAATGGTAAGGAATCGAACCACATGTCTTCACGTCCGGACGTGATGTGTTAAACCACTGAGTTGCCGTTACACTTTTGCTCAATTGAGCACATTCCTTAATTTATGTTAATATTTTAGCACAACCGGCTTCTCGTATCATAATTTATATTCGGCGTCATAATTTATACTAAACATGTAACAACTTTAGCGAAACGCGTAAATCTCAGTTTCGTGGGAAACTTGTGAAAAGCCGGCAAAGAAAAAGGCCGCTACAAAGAACTGATAACAATAGCAAAAATATCAAGACCGCTCGAATTATCAGAGTGGTTATTCCCCATTATCGTGATGTTACTGGGATGCTCCGGTACTCCGAATGTATCTATTACAGGCCTTTATCCTGATACTTCCAACTGGTACTCGCAGTCTGTTCGATTTATATCATCGTTATATACTGCTTAAGAAAAGACAGTCAAAAAAGGTGTATTCTGCTTTAAAAGCCAGATACATAGTAGATGTGCTCAAAGCTGGCCCTAGGCACAAGGGCCGATGATGCAGTTGATAGCACGTCACTTCCGGACACGAAGAAGAGTGGTTTGATTTCCTCCTGATTCATAGCAATTTCTGTAAAGGAGCTCCACTCACGACACTCATTGCTAGACAACAGAGAAAATCGCTTATCTCCTCACTGACCTCACAGTCCTCATTCGACTTCCAAACGGCGAAATAACTGACCACATTTTGTTGAAAATGTTCTCTTGCGATAAGTACTACTCGAATTTACTCAAGCGGTGCTTCAAAAAAAGGACTTTGTTTAAGTATGATGAAAATACTTTGTTAGCTTTCACAGTTTTTTGAAAGAACCCAGGCTGGAACGCACCAGGCGAGCCGGTGCGATCATGCGTTTTTGCATCAAACTTTGA